GGGGACTGGGCCAGCAGAACCCAGACGTCCCCCTCCCACATTCCCTGCTCGCTCCCAGGACCGGGCCACCCGGGCCGTGGCCACCCACCTGCTCCTGTGCCAGCCCCGTGCCGGTGGCCAGCAGCTCCTCTCGGCGCCCAGCACCCAGCCCCTCTCGGCTGCCCAGGTAGAAGAGCAGCAAGGCGAAGCGCAGCTCTCCCAGCGACCGGCCCACCTCTGCCTGGAAAACCAGCTTGAACCACAGCTTCGCCTGGGCTTCCCACTTCACTGGAAAGGAGAAGGCAGAGGGGGTGAATCCCCACTCCGGCGGCTGTGGGGCTCCAGGGGGGTGATGGGTGAGGAAGGGGCTTTGGGGCCAAGCATCGGTCCCACACAGCGGCTGGAGCATCTGGGACAGGAGCTGACAGGGTGGGGGGACACAGCAACCCCCCTGTCCCCGGTTTCAGGGAGGTGGTCACCGGGCAAACCCTGCAGCCCCGGCGAGCAGGGGGCTGTGCTGCTCCCAGAACAGCTCTGGCAAATTTTCATGGGCAGATCCCCATGGAAATCCCTTCTCCCATGGCAGCTCGTCCGGTGGCTCGGGGACATTGTGGCCGTTGTGTCACAGCCAGCAGCACTGCCTGGGGAAGAGCCACTTCCCCAGCTGCCTGGCACTGTCAAATTCGGCTGAAAATCCAAAATCTGGGAGGGGAGGAAGAGGTTTCAAGGTGGGAGAAAAAACCGTGACCCTCCGGCTCCATGGGAGGCCAGGTTAGAACTGAGGGCTGTGCTCTGCCTCCAGCACAGCACTTACCACCAAGAGGGGACGGAGGAACGAGTGTTGCTGGTTTTCACATAAGGCTGAAGCAACACAAGCGAGCCCAGGACCTGGGGCTCCTCAGCAACACTGAGCACGAGGGATCGGCGCGTGCTGCGGCCGACTGCGAGCAGCCAGGCTCACGCCACAGCAGGACCAGCCGGGTCTGCTCAGCCAACCCTCTCCTCTCTTTTCCCAGTCAGAGAGAGTTGGGATGGGGTCCTAACCCACATCATTAAGGCAGAAAGTGAGAAACGCTGGTAACCTCCAAAGCAGAGCAGAAGCCACCGAGACTGTGGCACCTGGGCATTAGTCACAGGCAGGGACAAGGCACCCTGCTGCACACAAGCTATCATCACTAAAGCTTCTTAAAAATGTACCCAGAAAGAGATTTTACTGTATCGCTTTGCTTATTTTAAAAGGAACCCAACCCCACAAAGCTAATTCTGTGTTTAAATCTCTGATTTAGGACAAGCAAACAGCATCATTTCCCCGAGCCCTGCGCTTGCCCCGCTGCGCTCAGTCTCGGCGCGGGGGTTTCACACCAACCTTCCTCCAGATGCAGCACGAGGACGCGGTCCTGCCCCGGCTCCACCACGTGCGCATGGATGTGCTTCAGGGGATGGAGAGCGGCATCCGCCTCCCCGGCTGAGCAGAGCCCAAAGGTCTCGAGATCGCTTTCATCCCAGCTGGTGCGTTGTCTCAACAGCTTGATGAAGCTGCTTTCGTAGTGGGTGAGAACACCCACAACTTCCAGGTGCCTCGGGGTCAGCCCGTCCTGGTCCATTTTCACCCTGCACACGGGCCCTTCCAGGCCCCCAAGCGGCCACGGGTGCAG